CAAAAGTTACAACTCTTGTTGTATAGGTCTTGCTTTATCTTGGTCTTAACCATCCAGCAGAAAAAGTATAAAAATGATGTGTAAGAAGTAAAGCCATGGCGTTATGTTGAGCTGTAGGGGACTCAGGTCAACAATTTTGACACTGCCAGTCAAGCAGAAGACCAAATACTATTATGAACTACTGGACTCTTTTAGGATATTTTGCTGAGTTAACACACCTATAATATTCAAATGACAGAACGAAACAAAAAAGGGGATACAGATGAATGTCCATTTTGTATCTGTGTATTTAAATTGTTAGGATAGATATATAGTTATATTCTCTTGATGAATAGAGGGATTTATGGTAATAGTGTTTGTAAATAGGATATCATGTCTGCATCTTGTACAGCAAATAACCACTAGGAAGAGAGTATGCAATGTGTTAATTATTGAAACTGTCCTACCAATTTTATTTGAAACTGTCTCATTTTTTGTCTCTCAATAAAATTATGGGAAAAAAAAAGACTATTGTCATTCTGAAAACATCCTTTACATAGCCCAATTCTGAATGTCTGGATCACATTTAACTCCACTAAGTCGTCTTGGTTTTGTTTTTTGTTTTTTTTAAAGTCTTGCCTAAATTGCTAGAGCCAAGACAAATGGCAATGCCAAAGAGGTAGTCTGCTATAGGTGCTTGAGAACCATACTAAAAAGACCTCATTCTGTCTCTTGAGCTCATTTTTCTTAATTTATAAAATAAATATGGCAATTAATCAATAAGGTTTCTTCATTGTATGAAACACCTCACAACCCTCTTAGGCAGCTTACCAATACCTTTTATCTGTTGCTCCCATATGAAGCATGATTTTTTCAAAGGTTACCTCCTTAGAACTTAACAGTCCTGGATCCTAGTATTTTTTGGTCAACCTACCTATTTCTCTGGTAATCTTGATCTTGCGCACTTTAGGCATATTCTATTTCAGAACCTCTCTCACCCAAATTCTGCATATCCATCATCTTTCCACACTTCAGCCTTCTGTAACTGTTTGGGTCAGCCTTAAAGACCTCTCCATGCCACTGACCTTAATTCAGCCCTTTCTAGGCTTCCTTTAGTTTTATTATGTCTTTCTTGTTACAGGATTAAAGATGAATGGCCGCAGGAAAAATTTCATTGTTTGAAGACAAAATTTACAACTTTCCCATGTTCTTTTGTGTGTGTGTGTGTGTGTGTGTGTGTGCGCGCGCGCACACTATTTCATGTTATTTTCATGGAATCCTTTATAAAGAAATAAAAGTTCATAGCAATGCTTTTCTTTCACTTTACTAGCAAAAATCTCGCCTTGTCAATGAAACTTTACATAACAGTTCACTATATAAAACAGACCACAGAGTGCAGAAGTTGTGGCTGTGGTTCTAAAAAGACCGTGCCTCCCCAATGTGGCCAGCCCTCGCTCTTTCAGTCTGCCCCAGCAACACCTCCAGGGGCGCTGCGCAAGGACGGACCAAGGCAGGGAAATCACTGCAGTTTCTTTAAACATTAAGCTGCCAGTACACCCAACATATCAAAGTTTCAAGTAAAATAAACAAATTACTTCAGGAGGTTTCTTTACTACATCAATGACATAAAATTCATTTTCTCTCTCTTTAATCAAATATACATAATATAAAACTTTTCACAAGTTTATTTTTGGGAAACACTTTTTCAAAAGCAGTCTAAGACTGAGTGTGGTGGGGTATGCCTATAATCCCAGCACTTGGGAGGCTGAAAACAGGAGGATCACTATGAGTCCAATCTGTGTAGTGAGACTCTGTATTAATACACTAAAAAAAGGTTTTTTAAAAAGCAGTCGAAGAATGGGTATAGCATCAATTTAAACATACAGACTATCAGTGTTGCATAACAAGAGGAACAATTAGTAATTTTTCCCACAACAGCTTTCAATATAGCACAAGATATCAGACATACATTAGTAGTGAAATGGATCAAAATTATTCTTTATTGAACATCTGTTTATGTATCTTCTGCTTCTGAGTACAGACAAACCAGAAATAATTGAGTTAGTTTCCATAATATGTCCATCAACTGAACTGCATCAGGAATTGCCCATATATGTTCCCTAGGTATATTTTCCAGAAACTATAGAGCATTCATCTTCCCAATTTGTATATGTAATAGAGCACAGATTTAACATTCAAAAAAAAATTAAACACTCAAAAACAAATCAAACAGCATACTGTAAACAATTTTTACATTTATACATGTAATCTAGGTTCATACAACTTCTGATTAAACAATATAGAGGTAATTATAAACCAACAATCTTCCAAACCATTCAATTCTTGTATGTATAACTAAACATTTGTCTTAGAAAATTTTAACACTTTTGAGAAATTAATTTCCTCATAACTAGGCTTTTCATCATGGTATCTCTGCTCAACAAAAATGATAATTTTGAAAAATAATGAAAAATAAAAAGCCAATTCTTATCTTGGACAGCACTATCCAGAATTAAGTGTTCTTACTTTTTCATTGTAGCCTATCATTTACTACAAAGGAGACAAAAGGGCCAGGGAGATAGCTCAGTGGTGTAAGCGTCTGCCTGACAAGTGTAAGGGAAGGTAGGGGGAGGGAGGGAGAGAGAGAGAGACAAAAAGATAGAGAGACAGAGTGAGACAGAGATAATGTGCCATTGAGAAGGAAATATGACACTCATGCAGGTCAGGCTCTAAACAGATCTGAACATTAACATCTTAATTAAAAAGCCACAAGAACAGAGATGTAATATTGTAGCAAATCGTGCAGGAAGACGGCCATGAATGAATCAGAAGTCATGACTGGTATGCTAACTTAAGCTCAGTGATGACAATAGATAAATGACAAAAACTCCTAAATTATTTCTCTCAAATGAAGTTATTTCTTAGTATATCACTCTGAAATTATGTATTTCATTCATATTTTCAGTAAGATTATTCAGAAGAAGCAATCTTATTCAAACTTAGTCAATTTCCCCTGATAGTTTCACATAAAAAGTTACTAAAAATCACAATTTTGACAAATTTCTTTTTGTACTCATACAAACATTATAAACTACAGTAAAGAAATTAGATCCTTTCTTATCTAGAATGGTCTATTACCAAATCTGTTCATACTGCCACAGCAATCACAAATCATGAAAATGCATCTCAACGCCATGGTGAACTAGCAGCCACGCTTATTCCACGTCGGCACTGCCAGTGGTCCCTGCGTTGTCCTTTCAACAATGACAAACTCATCAGGGTTGCCAAATGCCTCATAAAAAACCAACAAATCTTGGATTGCATGCTCCTCAATCTGAAAAGAGGGAGGGAAAAAAAGGAGACCTGCTTTAATGTTTTACATACCACTGAGTAAATAACCCTTTACCTGGACACCACAGAGCAGAATTACACCAGTTACAGTGGCACCTTGGGTCCTGAACTCAATTCCATCCACCCTTACAGTGAGGATGGCTGCATTTGTGCAGGAAGATGGCCATGGCTATTCTTCACCTGTCGTCGACATCACGAACAGACGCAAAGTTTTGACCAATGCTTGTGTTCATGAACAGAAGCATTTGTGAACCACTATACTCATACCTCACTTTCTCTTGGTAAAAAGAGAAGCCTTGAGGCCTGTCCTAGAATAACCAGATTCCCGTTGTGGTGGTTGGGATGGAGTTTCAATCTGGTGGGTCACGGGATCCACCTTTTGGCATGTCTAGGTGGGTCATGGTATGCCCTGGGGCCTATGTATGGTCCCTCACAACCTCCACTCTGGCACGCTTCCTCCGCTCTGCTCCACAGCTTCCATGAGATGCGCAGCTTGGCTCCACCACACCCTCCACATCTCTGCCTTGGAGCCAGCAGATCACAGATTGAAACTGAGTATATTAAGCCTCTCTTCCTTTAAATTGTGGGTGCTGGGTACTGTACATTACTTGATAAATAACGGAAATTGGTACTTGAGATGTGGAGTAATTGCTATGATTATATATAACCAGGTGGTTCAGAAGCCTCTGAAACTTGTTTGTGGGAAACATTTGGCAAAGTTTGGAGATGCAGGCTAGAGAAGCCCTGTAATGTTGTGAGCAATGTTTGGTGGGCAATATTAGAAGACAAGCATGTTGATAAGAATGCAAACAGTGAAACCCAGGCCCACACAGTTTCACTTGGAAACAAGGTCTCCACTGGCAATTGAACTGGAGGTCACATGTGCTATACTCTGGAAGAAAATGTGTGTAGTGTCCTGAAACTTTGTGGAAGACTGAGATTAAGGGCAGTGGACTTATTAACCTGGAAGATGACATTTCAAGATAGTCTCATATTCAGTTTGTAACATGGGTACAGATGGATGCTTTTACTCAGATTTATAGGGAGAATAAGAGGCATAAGACAGGGCAGAAAAATTTAAAAAACTTAAATTCCAGCTTAAAAGTTAGGGCCACAGGAGGTGTGGCTGTTAAAGACATTAATGCCATTAAAAAAAAAAAAAAAAAAAAAATTTATACAGGGATAAGAAAGATACCTAGAGAGCATCTCAGGAATTTCAAAGACTCCACTCACTGCAGGTGTGAGGGTACAAAAGTATCCATTCTT